TTTTCGAGCAAGGTAGATCGATTGTAGTGTGGGGATCCTTGGAAAGATTTGCAAGTTTTTGGGGAATTTTATGAAGTTTTGCGTACGCGTGTTTGCTAATGTCCTTGACGCGTTTCTTACCCTGTCGATTGTTGTTGGAGATATTCCCTCTGCTCGAAAGAGTGGTGTCATCATTGTTTTTTTCAGTCAGCAAATGAATCATTCGTTAGTGGAATTTGAATAAAAATTTCTTAAGGTTTTCCCTCTACAAAGCAATGTCCAGCAAGGTTGATTTGCTTCGAGCTCGATTCTCCTCAGAAAAAGTGCTAAGTGTGACCAATGGAACTCCTATCAAGGCATACCTCCTGCCTAGTACTGACGCCCATCAGGTTGGCGTTTATTTATTTAATTTATTTATTTATTGAATGCGCCTTCTGAAGCGCGCAGAGAGATCATGAAAACAAATACAGTTAAACTATACAGTTCATGCTTAAAATAAAAAGACTTGTTAACTGATCGCGGTAAAGTTTTTAATGGCTGTATGCTACTGTACAAAGCGCTACCACTCAGAAGCTTCGCGACCGCCCGTTTGATAGTTATTTTTAGATGTATCGTTATTGCAACAAGAATCCTTCAATTTGTGCTCGTTGATTCACGTGATTTAGTGTGTCAAAGTATCAAATTTGTGGATCTGGGACGGTAGTAAAGTGCCCTAGACTGGCAATCAAATGTGGTGATTTACACCATTGGCGAGGAATAGAGAACGTAGGAAACATGGACATGACCCTAGTTGAAACCGCCAGCCTCGCCACACCGACCTGCAAAACGCATACCCACTCTCGGAATTGAGCCCTGGATTTTAGGACTCGTAGCCTGGTTTTTGCCACTGTACCAGGGATCACTCCTCCACACCACTAGAAGAGATGTTGATGAAAGGTAAGCAAGCGGATGTTAATTGCAAATCTGTTAGGCTTCAAGCGATGTTGATCAGGCAACCTTGACAGCGACAGCGAGGGTTCCCCATGAAGCCATTGACAAATCGCCATAGTGGCAGTGGTTGAGCAGTCCACCACGTTGCCTGCAAAACTTGCGTCACATATGGGTTTGAACCTTTGGTGCATAGTCCCATGACATCGCTACCACTGCACTAAGGAGCCCTTCTTATCGACAGCGAAAGGGTTGCGGAGAAAAGGGAGGCACACCCCACGAAAGTTGCAAACCTTAAGATATCTCTGGAAGAAGTTTAAATCCCGCGAGCCGATCCAACACCAGCGTTGGGCCCGCAGTTTGCGACACCATTTCACGAATCGATGCAAGGGGCTTCCCTTTCCCTTTCCAACACTCTGCTCTGACCCACACAGCCTGGCAGTTTGGGCGTGGCCATCTCTAAAAAGTCCTCCGGAGGACTTTTTAGAGATGAAGTGGCAGCATGTTTGCGTCTCCACCGCGCGCACTATTTCCTTTTTCTCTGCCGCCATCGCTGTTAGTTTTTGGATGACCACCCTGCTAATCCTCTTACTAGCACGTGATGTCATCACTTCCGAGTGAGTTCGAACTCACTTCGACCATTCTGACGGGGAATCTTCGGAGGGCTAGCTGCCGAGGCCATTCTAAATGCTACCGTCCCTGGAGTAATAGCATCTCTCATTGATGAACTACTTTTGGTCGATAAGAAAATTATCACAACAAACCCGCCCATAAAATGGAACTATTCTCAGTAAAAGATCAGGACAAGCGCTGTGTTTTCTTTGTCACCGTCTTCCACATCATATAATTTACACAGGAATTTTTCTTTGAGAAATGGATAGCGAAATTGCGCTTTGAGGCAATTTTCGGTAGCCTTTGAGTAGGCTGTGATCGAGAAAGCGACTAGCAGCTGTCATGTGGCCTTGACGATACGATGAGTATCGAACATTGAAGACACATTCCGCGATTATGTATAGGAGCAATCCTCGCGAGTAATGCACATGAGTACGTTACTGCAGACAGTAATTTGATTTCTACTTAGAACCCGTGGCAAGAACGCAAAGGACCTATGACGTGCATCACATGCCTCCATGCACACCTACAATACGTATGTGTTGATGTCTGCGTCTCGCTCATTCCCCATGCTTTCTCTCTTCATGTTATCTCGCCTCGCTCGGTGCACAGTGTCTCTTAGACTCCATCTGGGTGGTAGACACTTCACCATTAGAAAACGAATATCCTTTCCCTGTGGTTTCTAGCGTTCCTTTCCTGTTTTCTTCACTGGCGCCCTTTTTCCGAGCGCAGTAGGCATACAAAGTTAAATCATCGTGGTATATGTCTTTAATATTGTTCCGTGTAAGATAATTATTTAGAAGTTACCGCTTTATTCACGTTGGCCTGGCAAATAAGTTCTACTAGACTTTTATTATAAATTAGAGCTTGAATATTCATTACAAACTTTAATTTCACTCACAACTAGTGAGTTCAATTACACGGCAAAATTCAATTTGGCCAGGAACATTTCATATTAAAAATTTTTCAACATATTCCATAAAGCGAAATTCAGCAAGGGAACATCGATAGTAATATGTTCCAATTTAGAGTGAATATCTAGCAGATCACGATTTTCGTGTGAAATTCCTCACTGGTTTCACTGGATCAAATGCTTACGTGGCTGTGACCAACGACAAAGCGGTACTGTGGACGGATGGACGATATTTCCTCCAGGTAATCCATTATGGAAAGCGAAGATTTTCTAGAAGCAAGAGGAACCTTGTTGTATAAAAAGTCAGCAGGCACACTGATATTCTTTTGGGATTTTACCTTACTGCTTTGAGGTAGAAAAACACCGGCTTCCAAACTGGCTGGCTTCTGTAGGCCGTATGCGATTTTGGCTCCAAGCATGATAGTTTGGCGTGACGCATTAAGATGCCCCAAGACCGTAAATTAGGGTGAATGTCGCGTTGAGGAAATGGCACGAGGTTCCCCATTGCCTCTTACCACGCAGAATTTGATGAGACCCTCTCTGGTCGATGATTTTGAAAGTGTCACCCAAAGTTAGGTCAATCTGACACACTACAATCCCCTGTTGCGGAATCTCAACCATTATTCAATTTGCAAAAAAAAAACACATTAAACCTTCATGACAGCTCTTACAAGCGCGATACATTCATGCATACCCCACAAATTCTTCTTCTTCACTCTAGCACGCGCGGTCGCAGCATCCACTGTCTTTATTAGTAGTCGCCACTTTGTTCTGTCCAGTGCATCTCCTGCTGTGGCAGTGACTTCACTTACCAGGGAAAGGCATTCAACTTCCCATGGAACTTTGAATTGAGACCCAGATATATCGATAGAGCTTCAAACGCTGATTACAAATATGGAAACTAAAACTGCAAAATGAACCTGCCAAGGAAGTTGTGAGCAGTCAAAGTTGGCTGGAAGTAAGCGTTACGTATTAACCGTGCTAGCCTCCGAGCTTTCAGAGTCGCCGTGGAGTAGTGAGAGTGCTCTCAAAATTTGCACTCCAACGGAAAGAGAATGAACGACCCCTCGGCTGGAGAGCGAGAGCATTGCCACTACTCCACTGCGACTCTGAAAGCCCTTAAAGACAAAGGTCGGGCTCAGGCACGCTAGAGAAGTAATTCCCGTGCCTGGAGGTTGTATGTGGGTAGCTGCACACATTGCAGCAACTTCCCACCTTGAAAAACCCCGTTAAGGCCCCGGGGCGTTCGGTTTCAATCCAGGGCCGCCTGGTCAATCCAGGACCGCCCACCTCCGGAAGTGGTGCGTGGCTGGCATAACGTGTGAAATCAGCTAGGTTGATTGCCGTATCAACCGATAGAACGACTGACATCTCCAGAAAACTTGTTTGTACGTGCCTCTTTCCCCAAGCCAGCCTCCTTCACTGCTAGTGGGAAAGAGGGTTTTGTTAACGGCCTTGTCGACGGTTTTTCTCAGTTTTTTCTCCACTGTCGTTCCACTTCGCATCTCTATACTCAGTTTCAATCGCCATAATACCCCCTTATTGAGCCCGACTTTTGCCTTTAAGCTAGTACGGTTCATAGGTTTGACTTCACTTCAAACCAACTTTGGCTGCTCACAACTTCCTTGGCCGGTTCATTTTGCAGTTTAGCTTCCATATTTGTATCAGCGTGCTCTGTCGATATACCTGGGTCTCAATTCGAAGTTCCATGGAAAGGAATGAATGCCTTCCCTGGTTAGGTCCTTACGTATCCAACAAACAAGCATAGCATTTTTAATGCACCTGTGGATCCCTAACACTCGTTTCTCTCCATGATTTCGAATGGGATTAGAATTTGTGAGTCGTCTAAATGTGCAACGAACATCAAACATTTCATTTTTCGTTTACAATTTTGAATTATTGAACGACTTCGCGCGCTTCGCTTCTACAGGAGGTTCTTCTGAAAGGGGCCATAGATGCTTCTTCTCTTAGATAAAGCCGATAAGTAGATTTCATGAAAAAAGTGAATTAATATCCAAAAATCCAAGAATTTCATCAATTCGTCGTATGCGCCACATACTTGACATACATACAAAAATCTGAAAGCCTGTCCGTGTCCACTGAGTTGACGCTTTGATCTGATAGCTCTTTATTGGGTTCTTATGTGAACAAGGTTTTTCAATAAATTTTCCCCCTGAGATCATGTTTTTACACCATGTCGTGGACCATTCAAAATAGCTTAAACTTTCTTAGAAACTATGTGAACTTCCACATTAGCTAATACTATTTTATAGGCTACGGAGCAGCTGATTCCGCCCTGCTCTCTATTGAAACAGGGCCTTTCCGACTCTATCTCGGTTGAGGACTTTGTATCTGAAAATTTGAATGATGGCGATTGGATAGGAATCGATCCTGCCCTTCACACCTATGGTTAGTTCTGTCAATATGCATGTTGTGTGCCCTAATGTTTAGGCGTTCCATCCGGGTCAGTTGAAAACCATTTATTTGTTTGTTTATTTATTTTTTCTCATTTTAATAGCTTAATTTAATTATTATGGTTCCTAAACATTGCGGCGGAGATTCCATTTTAAAAAGCTCTAGAGTAGTGGTACTTTTCAACGGTTGGCGCATATTTCAGAAAGCGGACAAAAGCTCATCAAGACTTTGGAATGCCAAGGAATTAAAGTGGCACCAATCAGAGGAAATCTTGTGGACGAATTTTGGGATAATCGACCTCCACTTCAATCCAAGAGTGTGAGTTCTACTCTCGTGGACTCCTCAACTAGTGCAATCGGCGTTGTTGAGATTGGAGCTAAAAGTTAGCCGGGGGAGTAGAGACCAGAGGGTGCAAAGCAATTTTCATTTTTGCCGAAGTCCCTGCCAACTCCTAGGCTTAGTGCCAGAGGATGCCCCGTATCTTGTGTTAGCGCCGTGGAATATCTTTTACACGACAGCATTTCAAGGCACACTCTGTTACTTCATAAGTTTCCCGTAAAGTTCTCGGGAATGACCGCAAATATGATAAGTGGTCGTCGTAATGAAGAGGACAAACCGATTCTGCAAAAAATCCTTAAAGGCACATCCCATGCTGATCATATGGGCGGAGTCTTCGAGACCACTCTGCCCTCTCATTGGCCGGCAAACTTTTTTATATCAAGGAGAGGAGTAGATCAATGAGAAGGCTCGATGGATTTCCTGACTCTGCCCGTACAATAAGTGTGGAATATGCTTCTAGGGGTTTTTAGCAGTTCTGTGACCACTTTTCGTTACTGTTTGATTGATTACCAAATCAGTTTTCATAGCCGGGTGCAACACACCACACTTAGGCGGTCGACGATGTGTCTTTAACTGCTCTATTTAGCCTATAGTGCTGACGCCGGAAGAACACGGGCGCTGCGTCAACGATAAACTGAAAGATTTGCAAAAACGGATTGGGCAGAGAAAATGCGATTCTGTTGTCCTTTCTGCTCTGGATGATATAATGTGTGGGTGGAGTTTACTTCGTTGAAAGGAGTTTACTTTTTTTGCTGTTCACTGGAGCCGAACAGACGTAAGGCGTTCGAGTGGGGGGTCTGTGATCGAATTCGCCTAGAGCGAGGACTCTTTTGTTTCAGGAGCTTACTCAAATTAGGCATCGGAAATCAGGTACATATCCATTGGCTTTATTTGCTTATTTGTTTTAAACTCCTTCTGAAGTACACTTGTTCATGGATAAAGCTGATGATGTGGTAAGTAATTTTGTTTACTCAATTAAGAAAGGGGCGAAAGTGGTGTAGTGGCAGGTGACTTTTGGACCGGGGAACGAATCCTGGGGGGGGCGTCGTTTGAGCCAACCAAGCCTGTCCACCTTCGGAGTCGGAACTGGTACAGGACTGTCTGGGAGTTATAAAGCACTGAGCTGTATATCGGCTGTGATTAATGCAGTTATGACGTGAACAAGAAGGGTTTATTGAACTGACTCTGACGACTCGTATCGGGGGGGCGGATTCTGATCCCAAAATTACTATGAACAATGGTTAGCGCTCAAGCTGCTTCAATATCCATTTAATTTACAATTCCTCAATGTCAGATACGGTAAGGGATTATTTAGGGATGGCAAGATTCTCTCACATTCAGAATGTCACTTGCAGCTGATGTGATGTTGGGCCTATGTAAGTGGCTCGGGGAGGAGGGAAGAATGGCCACTGCCCTAGTCGACGTTTTCATTTTTTCAGAAGAATCAACTCAAAGGCAGCGGTTACGATGAAATTCAAGAAGGTTTAGTGTGACGTGGTGGTGCTTCAATAGGTACCCCAGCAGCGAAAAAAAGCAGAAAAATCCGTCAAGAAAACCAAAACGGGACCCTCTTTTTGGCCGTTGGTTTTCACTCATGAACAGGTAACAGCTAAGAAAGAGGACGTATGAACGAGTTCACCGCAACAACGCATTTGATGGCACCATGCCAAACTACGCTTCAATCGAGATGCTCCATTTGCGCCGCTGCTGGCACGCAGCTCGTCCAAATCAACAAGTAAACTAGTGGGCGGATCGCTTTTGGGGCGGAGCGCTTTCGAAGTCCTGCTCAGCAACCAGCGCACCTTTCGTTGTGAAAGCGCCACACTCGCTTCCCTGGCAGCCAAGTAACTGATTCGTGTGGTGCATATGCTTCCCCGATGCGCTCCCTCTTTATCGTAATCGCTTCCTTTAATAACTCCGAAGGGATGAAGGATTTGGTTGACCTGCGCGATATTCGTTCAAGCATTTGATCCCCGGACTGGGCGCGTGATGAGGGGCGGGTGCCACTTAGTACTATGTCACCTGCGCCTTTACTAAGGATCTACTCAAAAAAGTTGATGCGCATAGTGAGCATACACTCCTCACACTCTTTCGTATGGGTAGAGCGCCAAACACTGCTGTTTGCAGTATGGATGCAAGACCGTACGAAGGGGGCTTAATTTTTTCACACTCCTTTTTCTTTGGACTAATATTACTGCCCTGTGTTTCTTTGTTACATTAAAGGTGTCAAAATCCTAGAATATAAGCGCTTTTTCGGCATGAGCCCCGGAAAACTCATTTGAGCCCTTTGATTGACCTATCTTTATAGATTTCAGATGCGTGAGTATCTCAAGAGTGAAGGCGTGACACTTCATCCGTATGCGGATGCGTACGATTTTATGACAAAATGGTATGAGCAACAGACGGCGGCTAAACAAGCAGAAGCCTAGGGTAAAGTAATCGCCCGGATTGGTGAACTGCAATAGCTATTTCAATTTTGTTCAGGTTTTTGTCCCGACAACTACTAACTACCTTTTTGGTGAAATTTTCGCATCGTCGGCAGTCGTCGAAGGCAGCCCTGTGCAGGTCATGAAAGGAGTGAAAAATCCTGTCGAGCTGGAAGGCATGCGTAATAGCCACGTAAGTTTGGTGAATTTGGTTGGTTTTCGTCTGCAAGCTAAAATAGCCCTGTTCCAGATTAGAGATAGCGCAGCTCTGATAAGCTTTCTTATGTGGTTGGAAGCCGAGTTACTCGAAGGACGATCCTACAGCGAGATTGAGTTAGGCCTCAAAAGTCGACTCGATGAGAGCTGCTATGGATAAGTATGTCGATCTGAGGTGAGCCTGGAAATCTTCCATTCATGTTGTTTTTTGAGTCGTAGGCAGAAGGATGGTCCTCTAGTGAGTACAATGTTAGAGAGGAGGTAAGTCTTCGACCTGTAGTTTTCACAAATTTAAATACACTGTGTGCTATGTGAAGGCTTCAAATTTGTGCATATATCAAATAAGTCATTTACACAGAAGGTTTAAATATACTAAACACATCACTACTCCAATTAAGTTATTTTCGGGCCTATTCCAGTAAGATGGGTGGAAGGGGGGCTCGCGGTTTACAGCGCTCAACGTGTTCAAAACTACAGCTACAATACTTTTCCAGTGTGAAAGTTTAGGACTAAATAGGCCCTGAAGATAGGGGAAAACCTGAATTCGAGCAATTATGTTTTCTCTGGGACTTCCACCCCTCTTAGGCCTAGTCCTCGTGAAACACATTGTACCGCAATGCCTTCTCTTACCGGAATAGACCCCTTTCCATTGCCGAGCCTGTAATAATTGCATAATCAGTGTGGTACGTAGCGACAGATAGCATCAGAAGCGTCAAAAAGCACCCGTGATATCGGTTTTCAAGGTCTTTTATATACAATATCTGGTAATTCGAAGGTCATGTCACTGAGAACATTTGTCTGCAAAGCCCAAAGCTCAAATGGTCGTTTGAGTGGAATCCGTCTACTAAATTTATTGAATAAAATCGAATCTCGATGAAATTTGATGGGTCATTGGCTTTATGATTTTACAGTTTCTCGACTATTTCTGCTGCTGGAGACCACGCTGCAAAACCGCACTATCATCCTGATGGTGAAGAAGGCAAACGTCTGGCAACTGCAGACCAGGTCTACTTGCTCGACTCCGGTGCACATTATAGGTGATTTCATTATTGCTAACACATGTTGTATTTTGAAGGCAGAGTTTACGATTTGGAAGCAGTCCACAAGAATTGAGGTAGTGGTGTAGTGGTGCCTTGATGAAGAAAAAGCCATGAGAAATTGCTGAGAATCCGAGAAATGGGACTTGTGCCCTTAATTTCCGCATTGATGCGACTCTCATCGGTGCTGCCTCTTCAACGCTAACGCTCTCTCTGCTAAACGGCTAGAGACCTGCGGCGAGTGGTTAGCCAGTCGGTGGGCGTGCCGCGTCGATAGCGCCGCGGGGAGGGCCATGCTAGGTCGCCGGGGCATATCCTTCGCTGCAAGATTGCACCCTTGGGGGATTCTGTCTGTCTTTCCTTCAGGTGAATTTTCCCTTCTTCGATCTTTGACTTTATCGTGGAATCTGCCATTAAATGGTAGGGGCAAGCGGCAAATGGCACCCCTTTCCATGTTCATGGTCCGGTGAGTGAGGCCCAAATTGAATCTCACAAAGGACAACCAAGCCGTCAATTTTCAAGGGTTCGCTTAAAGGAAGCGATTACGATAAAGAGGGAGCGCATCGGGGAAGCATATGCACCACACGAAGCAGTTACTTGGCTGCCAAGGAAGCGAGGTGTGGCGCTTTCACGACGAAAGGTGCGCTGGTTGCTGAGCAGGACTTCGAAAGCACTCCGCCCCCAAAAGCGATCCGCCCACTAGTTTAGTTGGTGATTTGGACGAGCTGCGTTGCCAGCAGCGGCGCAATGAAGCCTCGATGGAGCGTGTTTGGTCATTGATGCCACAAACGCGTTAGCGATTGAACCTCTTCTTCCGTACGTTCCGCTTTCTGAGCGATTACCTGTTCATGAGCGAAAACCAACAGTAATAAAAATGGGGTCCCGTTTTTCCGTTTTCTTGACGGATTCCCCTACGATTTTCCGCCGCTGGCATACCATTGAGCACCACCATGTCCCATTTAAACCCTTTTTGAACCTATCGTAATCGCTGCCTTTAATTGATACCATACTCCTAGACAGAACGTTGGTTTCTTCATCAGCTAGCCATCGGAATCTACTGTATAGGCAATCTCGCACGCAGATTTCCTGCAATCCTGAAGTCAGGGTGTTACTTACACCATAGGCCGAATGCTTTCAAGGTCGCTGCAACACCCGCCGGTCTGGCCGGGCCTTTACACCGTCCCCGGCCGGGGAGGGAAACCCATGATTCCACGAATTTGTCAAGGCGACAATTGGGTGAAAAAGGGGTCCGACCATAAAAAATGGAATCAAAATCGTGCAAAACATTGTCAATTCAGGGACGGTACAACTGATGTCACTCGGACTGTTTGGATCTCATCTGAGGCACCGGTACCTGAAGAATTCATACGACATAATACGCTTGTATTGAAAGGACATATTAACTTGGCGAACACCGTGTTCCCGCAAGCAATCCCAGGTACCTCCCACGCGTTTGCTTTCTGAATTCTTATTTTACTACTGTAGTTCGCGAAAATTCCTTCCCTTCAACCATGAGTTGATCTGCAGCCAAAAGCCAATTACTTTAGGTATTCGATTAGGACACATTGTCAAGGCATGCAATGTGGCAGGTTGGATTGGATTTTGGCCATGGTACTGGTCATGGTGTGGGCCATTTCCTCAACGTGCACGAGGGTCCTGGTGAGTAGTTTTGATTTTGTAACGTTCTCGAGACCCGATAAATTATTTGACTGATTTCCTACAGCTTCCATTGGCCACCGGGCGGCAGCTTACGGCTGCGACTCGTGGATTCGAGAAGGCATGGTTTTGACGATAGAGCCTGGCTATTACCTCGAGGGGAAATGGGGTGTACGAATAGAAAATTGCTACGAGGTTAGTGTTTTTTTTTCTATAAAAAGCGGTTGGTACAATAAATTGATATGAATGAAAGTAGAGGTAGTAAGGGTGCGGAGACGGAGAAAAAACGAGATAAAATCTTTATTTTGCCTGTTGATTTACGCTTTGGACGAGTCACTGACCAGGGCGGAGACCGTTTGGACGAGTTTACCCCCCACGTCAGGCCAACAGATAATCATGCCTTGGTCGATACGTGTTAGATAGATAAGCTGATGATATGACCTCTTGAAATTAAATGCTCTTCAGCTGAAAGCAGAGACAGCGATATTAACCTCTAACATGCTTCTCCTTATGGGTAACTCCTTAGTGGGGGGGGGGGTAGTCCAGCCAGGGTAACCGCCTCGTTCGCACTTTTCCAATGATTTTGCGACCCTCCTATCTTTAACGTGGTCTCGATGCGACCCCACACTTACACCATCACTCCCAGAAGGCGCCTCAATGCGACCCCTGCCTCCCCCCATGGCTGTTTCTGTAGTATTTGATTCTGAAGCATGAGCCATGAGACCAGACGACACTACCCAAACTCCGCCTACTTTTTTTTCCAAAACGGCCGTCAAGGGGGGGGGGGGGGTAAATACGGTTATGAAGCAGCAGATTCACCAGTTTCATCTAATTCACGCCACTTTCGTGTGAAACTGGTGCTAAATTATCAAAATCCCATTAAAAATAACCCCCTTTTTACGACCCCTTGTCGCACTTTTTCTGGAGATAGTTAACCTTTTTTAATCCCAATTTGGCCCCTTTCCCAAAATCACAAATGCGTTCCTCTTGCTCGAATAGTGCGAATGGTGGTTGACCCTGGTCCCAGCCCCAAGGCCATCCTTGTCTCGGGTAAGGCGCCGCTAGTTTCCTACGGGCACGTGATTCGCTGCAAAAGTCCCCCATTTCTTTAAGGACCTAGCATTCTTTACACGCCTTGCCATTTAACTTCCCTCTGGATGAACGACGATAATTAATTGTACAAGTTGCCTTAGTAAAGTGTGCCCACAAATGGAAGTTGGGATATAGTGTTACTAATCGATATATCTTGAGATAGTAAAAGCCGATGTTCCATCTGGAGCGGATTTTCTTGGTTTCCGTGCTTTGACGCTGGCGCCGATACAAACGAGTATCATTGATAAGTCAATGCTCACAGAAGTCGAGGTGTGTCTCTTTCTACATGACCCTACTGTCGGCTCTCTGATTCTGTTTTCAGGTTGACTGGCTGAATTCTTATCATGATCGAGTGCTCAGTACAGTAGGCGAGTTTTTGGAAAGCTCTGGTAAAACCGCTGAGCTGCAGTGGTTACAAAAGCAGTGCGCTCATATTTGATGCTAAATATTGGATGCTGTGACTTATTGTTCATTCTGTGATAATTTGATATCAAGGTGGTGCGAGTTTCATGAATTGTTCTCCGAAAAGGATCAATTAGGTTAATAATGTCACATGATTGAGTTGTGCAATACAACGACCACTCCACAGACAGTTCGAGAATGTTTACTTCTTGCAAACAAAATAGACATAATCATATGCTCTAATTGGATCACACTTGGGTTCATTGATGTACCATGTGAGATCGGGAGATTTTGTATTTCCTTCAAGCTGAAATATTACTATTTATGAATTTATGAGCCCCTTGGAATTCAAGCAGTTCCATGGCATGGACAGAAATTTACAAAATAGTGTTCACATGAAGTTTTGGGCTATATTGGGCCCTACAAACAACTATGGTGCATGTTTGAGTATGTTCGAAAACGTTCAATGCCGTTTTTAGCGATCACTTTTGTTAAAAAAAGCTTATTTTTAATTTTTGAAAAGCTATATGGCAGCTATTACCTGGCCCCAAAGATTGTATATTCCTTAAGGCCGATGTCAGACTTTGCGAATCGCGCGATTCGCTAGCGTCTGCGGTCGCGTCGCGGCCAGTGAATCACTCAATTGGCTGGTACCGCAACGCGACCGCGGACGCTAGCGAATCGCGCGAATCGCTAGTAGCGAATCGCGCGATTCGCAAAGTCTGACATCGGCCTTTTGAATCTCTTGAGGACTCTTGATGTAAGATTTATTGGTTAGCTTTCGCTGTGATAACAGCTTCTTCAGACCTACAAAACATCAAGCATATTACAATACTTCAAACCTAGGAGACATCAACATAATAAACATTAACTGACCAGGCCGATGCTCTCGCTAATGGGATATTCTGCAAAGCACAATTCAAGACCACATCAGACTATTGTACAAACCAGGACAACAACGAAACGATGATCACCTCACTCTAGTGCAGTTGCTAATAAAATAAAAATCACTGGGAATGAGCAGTACGTGACTATTTCACAGTACTGGCTTTTATCCACCGTTAACTCAGAAGTCTCATAGCCTCCATGGCCTCCTCTCTGATGTTTATTTCTGGAGACAGCCGCTTGATAGCGAGTGCCTCTAACAATTTTCTTTCTAAGGAGACTTCTTTTGAGCGGTGTAGCACAGTGACCTTTATTGAAGGAGGCGGTTCTTGTCCATGGTAAATCGTGCGATGTCGTGCAAAACCGTTGTTTGGGTAAGACGAAGGATTTCGCAACGCTCGCATATGTTCATCAATCCTTCTGTACAATGGTCTCATCGTTTCTCCCACATACTTTTGACCGCACGCTTCACATGTGACCAAATAATCTTTAATAATGCTTCATTTTTGAATCACTTCGAGAAAATTTATATATCGTAGAAAGCGCGTTTCTTGCTCTGCCTAAATCTACCGCTATTTTGACCCTAAAACGCATTTCCCCTTTTTCTAAAGCTTAACACATTGACGACAATGCGAGTTTTGGCTTTTTTGGCCACGTGGGACCGCGGCGATTTTGCGGGCGCGCTCGCCAGGTCGTTCAAGCAGATTTTGAGTGATAAATACACAACTAATGACCAATTCAAAACCAAATCAGTAAATTGTAATGAGCGCAACCTACCCAGGGGTACAGTAGTGGAATTTCGATCGAAAGACATGGAATAACAATGAAAAAGCGAAATTTTTCAGAACTAGCTGCAATGGACCTCAAAAGCAATTTTACGTTGATTATTTCCAATCAAAACACACATGTTGTCATCCCTAAGGTTCCCTTATCTACTTCTACTACTATTTAAATCTTCACATTAATAAAAGAAAAGTAAACGAAAAATTTATTGAAATGAAGATTTCGTATGGTTCAGAAATCCTCCTCTAAATTAAAGTATACGTGACCATTCTAAGGGCCACTATGTTTGTAGCTACGTCAAGGTCTCTTCCATGGAATGAATACAAGAAACTTCTAAAAGAATCAGGCGTGCGCGAAAAAAATGAGTGTAATGGGTGCGGGGGATATATATCCCGCACGGTCCGACATGGCCTGCAATGCGCGGGATATATATCCCCCGCGTTGTCGTCAATGTGTTAAGAGCTGTTTTAGCCACGAGTTTCTTGTTTCTCATCCAACTTTGGTCGGAAATGCGCGGAAACAAGTCGCGGTATCAACTGAGCATTTGGTCTCGAATCCACGAAAAACACGCTTGGCAGTCGTAATTCAAAATCCCTTTCTCGCGATGATAAAAGCTTCGAAGGAGGGTCGGGTGAAGGTCGGCTATCGAAGACTAACAAAGATTAACTGAGCGTGTTGTCAGAGCCGAGGTTCTTCTTAAATCAGTGGTACACTGATTCCAAGGAAGTCGACAATGTGGTGCAACCGATCCTCTTCTACCACAGTTGCTTAGCACCATCGCACTTCCAGCCGTGCACAAGTCTTCCACATAGACTTCTTCTCTCACAACTGCCACTTTTCCAGCCACCTGGATGGTCTCTACAAAGAAATTCACACATTTAAACCCAACATAGTGGTGAAATAACCTCCGCCAAGTCCTTCGTCTACAGAACTCCAGCACTTCCAATATACGGATATATTAATTTTTCTTCTTCAAGACAAGGTGTATAGGAATCGTGACAGTTCTTAATTTCGATCGAAAGTCTTCTGTTATAAATGAGATACACGCTTTTGAATTTGAGGGTCAAAATCAGTGGAATCTTCCCAAACAACCCAATATTTCGTCCATTTATGTCCTAGCTAAGTGAATGAGAATCCAAACCTCTCTATCATATAGGGACTGCACTTTATCGCCACAGCAATGTCACCATATATCGTACACAGTGGGGCGGGGGAGGGGGCAAAGTCATTTCGCCAATGGCGCACATCATCAAACTTTTCGTCGCACAGGGTGCCGCCGTTGTGATGAAATTTTACGGCAAAATATTCCTTAGATGTCCCCCATAAGCAGAAGCAGGCCCTCCTTCACTGCCCCACCGTCTTCAGAATATGACGTCATCTGCCATCACCGTCGAGCTCAAGGAGGCCTACCGTAATCGCTCCAGCCTGAAGCTGCTACATAATTTCTTCAATAGTTAACTGGTGGATAGCTTCAAGAGACAGCAGCTCTGCATGCAAGACTTTTTTGACCAGCGTTTCAGATAACGTCGTAATGGCCTATGATCCCTCGAGGACCTCGTTGAGCTCGTACCGTGAACCATGTTTCCGTGGGGAATCTTCTGACGCTGTCAGTGTAGAAGGCTATCATGCAAAATGTTCGTTGGAGCGTTCATAGTTGGCGATCGTGCGTGCGATTAGGCGATTAGGCGATTAGGCGATGATTCAAAAGAAAAGTATACGTATCGATTAGGCGATTAGGCGAGTAGGCGAGTAGGCGAGTAGGCGATAAGAGAAGGATACGTATCGATTTGATGCTCCGCTATTGAGCAATCGCCTAATCGCCTGATCGTATTACGATCGCTAACTCTGAACGCTACATATAGATTGAAATGTGCTCCCCACTTTTAGTTTGGAGCGTACGGTGTGAATAAGCAAACTACAGCTGATTCTGTTTCAAAGCCACGAGTCGTGAGAAAGTGCCAAGAAGTAGCGTCTCCTAGAGTGACAAAGAGAGGTACATACCCAAGTGCAGGATTTGTAACGCTGCCGCGACTCAAAAGTGCGAGGCACTGCCGTCCTTACCAATCGCAGCATACGTGGCGTCTGCACCCTCTCGCGTACGACGTACTCTCTCGCGTTTTCCCTCTCCTCGCAGCGCTGTGTCTCTCCGTCATACCACGGCCGACCTCACAAAAGAAATTTCAGTGGTTCCTATGCGCTTTTTGCTACTTCTCCCCACTCACGTTTCGCATAGAAGTTGTCTAATTCTCGAACAAAGGAGCATACCGATTCAATCCCTCCCGTACCTTCACATGTGACTAGAGAATAACTTTTTCATTGCCCCCCCCCCCAAGTACTTCGTTCCTGCACATAGTGATGAGACTCACGAAATAACATTTCTTCTCCATTGTGAATCCACCAGTATAGTTAAGTGGAGATCCATCCATCCATGCAAGATTATTTTCCAAGCCAGTCAATATACTAAAGAATTCTCGTCCGTCTCTTCTACTCAGTTCTCTCAGCAACTCTGCAAAACCGAGCTGAATCAAGTCTGTCGCATGAATTCAGAGGAAAGGTTGCCATTTCAAACGCGAACCATCGATTTCGTCTCGCACAGGTGCTGGGGGAAAGGGATGAAGATTGCCGAAGTCTCACTCTCCCACGTAAAAGGTGGTAAATATTGAGCCAACTACTACTAAAGGTGATGAGCTCACGAAAAAAGGATGATAGGTCGAATGGGCGATAACGAGACATACACGGAATGTGTTTTGGACGCTGATGAATACCGAGTCAGCTTTGTGAACTGACAGTCAGTCCCCTAATTGAAGTTGCGAAGGTCTTTTGTTCCCCACGCAGTGTACTCTAAGGGTGCGGACCAACTCGCAATTGCATCAAAGGATATGTGCGGGCGTTCTAGCATAGCCTTCCCTTCGGCGCTAGTGGCCCGTAACGCCCACCGAATACCTAATCACTCACCGCAGATCTACAGGGTGGTCCAAAATTATGAGGACCAAGACATTGTGTCGTTAAAAACGCATAGTAGCTTGATGGAACAAACAAACTTCAGGGAAGTGTTTGTAACTCTTATCTCAAAGTAATTCCAGAATAGAATTGAGATCTGCCACCTGCCGCCGTTTACACGAGCCTTCAGATGAAGGGGGGATGGCGCGTGCGGTGGCACGCAACTAAGGCGTGTCAAATGTTTCCAGGCCTTCTGCTCTGCTTTTCGAAGTTTTGTGGGGCATTTATTTGCGTTGGCCTCCAG